TGTTATCTGAGAAATTATTTCTGATTTCATTTTTTCCAGATCCTCTTTTGTTGCTAGTTTAAGGAGTCCAGGTGGTTGAGTATAAGAGTGTTCCATCTTGTTTCCCTTTGGGGTTGCTGTAGGTGATCTGGAAGTCTGGTTTTGAGACTTTTTTACGTGTCTTCTCATTTCCACCTGGGGCGGGGGTTCTGTCGGTGCCTGCACGGCTCATGTCCTCTGCACTGGGAGTGGTGGAACGGCAGCCTGGAATCCCCTTCTTCTGGGCTGGGAGCAGTGGAACCTATCAACTGATCTGAATCCTCAGTTTTACCTAAATTAAAAATTGTTGGGCCAGGGGTTTAGCTCAGTGGTTCCACCACCTGCCTCGCAAGCACAAGGTCCTGAGTTTGATCCCTTTCCTTCTAGCAGAGGGCAGTGGGGTGCAGGGTACACCTTCCAAAGAGCTGTGTTGTGATGGTGGCAATCTTAGTCAACAGGGTTGGTGTTAGCATTATATGACAACGGTTGTGAAAGTGATGACATGGTCTCTGGGACACAGTAGATATTTGACATCAAGTAAATGTATACCTAGTGCATGGCCATTGGCTCCCTTCCTTTTGACCCACGGTGGCTATGTGGGGTCAGGAGAGGAGGGCTATTCTGTGGGTATCCATATCAGTTAGTTTCTGTTACTGTTTCTATCTCCTATACTGTGCAGCAGCTTTGGTTCCATTCCTTTACCTTTTCTGCCAGGGACAGTAGAAAGAGTGGGTGAAGAAGAGGAAAATGGTTATGGCCAGAAGGAAAAATTTTAGGCCTGAGAGATGCCCAGTGTTGAGCCATAGAGAAATTGGAAAATAGGCCTATAATGTTGTATATATCTAGAGCTTTATTTTTATCGAAGAAACAGTGTGACTGTATGACCAATGTAGAACTCAGTCATAACTGAAGGAATCCTATCTATTAGGGTTAGGAGGCCACAGTTCAGGCCCTCAGTTTACCTGTGGCAATCTCCAAATTGTACTGGGAGGCAACAAACTGTCCTTATTCTTAACTAAACTTCTAACCATAAACCTACAGAGTAGATGTTTCCAAGGTTTGGGAAGGAAGAGCACAGTGTTTGTTGACTTCTCATTACTTCAACTAGATAGCTAGAGTGACTCACAAGACTCTTAGACTGGGTTGTGGTCCTAAAACTGTCAGGGGTGTTAGAGCCACCTCCTCTGTTAGGCAGCCCTCCTTGGTTCCCACTGCTTGCGTGGTTCCTTCCCCAGAGCTGCCTTGGCCACTTGGAAGGGGATGCCATTGCTAGAACCTTGACTCATTAAGTACTTTCTGCCTTGGGTGAAATCCCCTCTCATCTTTGAGATCCACACCTATCCCCAAATTCTTCCTTCCCTGTGGCTTTACTTGGATCCCTCATGGTTTGGGGGTTCAGTAATAAGGAATGTGGCTCCCATTATATGATTGTAAGCTCCTGGTTCTCAGAGAGGCCATGTTCATCTTTGTGTTGGTCAAACAGCTTGCGCAGGGCATTGATGTATAGTGAGTGGTAGTTGTCCACTGTCTCCTTGTTGGGCCTCTCAATCTTGGGGACTGGCAGAGGTTCTCCAACTATGGAAAAGGAGGAGACAAGCATCAGAATTCCCACCCTAACACATTATCCACCCCTCACTGGGGCCACATACTTGTGTCTGGACCCTCCCTCTTTCTTCAGTCTTTCCATCTGCTCCAGCTCTAGGCTGGCCCTCATTCTCTGGCTGCCTAAACTCACCTGTGGTTCAGATAATGAGAGCCAGTGCAGGAGAGAGCTGAAGAAATGTGTGTGAATAATAATGGTCTTGTGACTGCTGTTGAACTGTGTCTCACATGTGAGTGGTTATAACTATTATCTGTTTAGTTGTTCTCCCTGCCCTGCTCTCAACCACATTCACTGGAATTCCCTTTGCCCACCCTGGGTGGGAGCCAGGACCCCGGGGGCTTGTTAGATGACTTAGAGTGTGGGGGGGGATTAAGAACTGGGTTAGTTCAGGGACAGTGGAACAGCTCACCAACTGTGGTAATGGGCCGATTGAAAGGCAGAAAGCCCCAGGATCCTTGAGTGAGGCCTCGGCCATGGAAGGTACAGAAATTTAATCCCAGGATTTTTTTTAATGTTTTCTGGAAGTTTTTCTGGAAGAACCTTATCCACGTGCCTTCAGGGAAGACTTCCTGATTGTAAATCTCATTCTCACCAAAGGAATAGGAAGGAACAAGGTATGCCCTGCAGAGAGAGGAGGAGGGTAAGGTTTCCAAGGAAGTGAAACCTCCCCCTGCAAAACTCTGTCCAAGGTGGGAAACGTCTCCAACCTCTTGATTGTTGGGTGAGAACCCAAGATAACCATCTCCAGCTTTGTGTTCTGTTCCTTCCAGACTCTCTTCTCCCCCCTGAACTCTCTGAGGGGAGCTGCTGCACTTGTGCCACGATGGGAAGAAACACCCAGTGATCTTCCTAAAATGCCTATGTGGATGGGTTATTCCTGTCTTTAAAACTCCCCCAGTGCTCCTCACTGTGGACCTGCTGCTCAGCATGGCCTTTGTGCTTTTACCCTCACCCTACCCCACTGGCTAGCTTTCCCTCTCCCCACTTCTTCCTCACAATCTGCTTAGCCATGCTAAGTGTGCTGAGTTATCTCTCATCCCTGTGTCTGTACATTCTGCTCCCTCAGTCTTCACAGGGCAAATTCATTTTGCCTTTCAGTACTCAGTTCCCATTTCATCCCCTTGAAGAAACTTTGCTTGACCGCCTCCAGTTCACCCACTGTGGACCAGGTGCCCTTCACCTAGTGCTTGTTTCCTGTCATCCTGCTCCCTCACCTCTATATTGCAGTCATTTCCTTACCTTCCCCAGGAGACAGCAAGCCAATCAAGGGTGAGAACTGTGTCACATTCATCTGTGAATCCCTAGGCCCTGGCATGGTGCCTCATATGCTGTAGGTCCTCATTGAATGCCTCAGGTCTTTCTCCTTTTGGGGACTGGAAACTCCTACTATATTTCAATTCATAGTTCAGATGTTACTCACCCATGAAACCTCTACTCTGGGCCAATGTCTTTCCATAAACTGTTGCTCCCATAGCCATTTGTACACATCTCCCTTATAGCACTTCATTCATTTGAGAAATCTCTATTGAGTTCTTTCTATGTGTCAGCACTATTTTAGACCCTGGAGATACATCAGGGAACACAATAAAATAATAGATAAATAAGTAAATAAAATAGATGATATGTAAGAAGATGGCAAGTACAACAGGAAAACAATAGAGCAGGATGGGCAGGACAGAGCTTACTGAGAAGAGATGTTTAAGCAAAGACTTGAAAGAGCCTAGTAGTTACTTGGAGGGACAGTGTTCCAGGCAGAGGGAACAGCTAGAACCAGGACCCTAAGGCAGGAATATGTAGCCTGTTTGGGGATAAGTAAGGAGGCCAGTGTAGTTGGCCAGGGGGAGAATAGTGAATGATGAGGTCAGGGAGGTGGCTAAGAACCAGGTAAACCAGATAATTCAGGGTCTTTCAGGCCATTTGTAAGGATTGTGGCTTTTTTTTTTTTGGTATCCGGGATTGAACTCGGGAGCTTGCACTTGGAAAGCAGGTGGCATCAGCTCTGAGCTAAATCCCTGGCCCAAGGATTGTGGCTTTTGGTCTGAGTGGCATGGGAGCTACTGAAGCATTTTGAGTAGTGACATGATTTGTAAATCATAAACTCTTAATTATGTTTAACACAATTATTCTGATTGCAGATAGGAATAGACTCTTAAAGGTGAGGGAGGTAGGGACAGAAGTAGGGAGAGCAGTTAGAAATATTGTAGTAATCCAGGGGAGGGATGAAGGTGGTTTAAACTAGGTAACGGTAGTTGAAGTAGTAAGTGATTGGATCTGGGATGTATTTTGTAATGATATGTGTGTGGGTCTGTTTTCCACATTGGACTATGAGTTTGCAAAGACAAAGTCTCTTATCTTCTTATATCCTCAATTCCCACCACAATGCCTGACACCCAGTAGGTGCTTAATAATTGCTGAATGAATGTGTTGTACTTTTCAAATCAGACCGTAAGCTCTTTGGGGCACATCTTATTCACTTTTGCAATCCTCATATCTCCAAGGCCAGTGCCTTCTTTGCCCTTGGGAACTTCTCAGGCCTCTCAGTGAACAGGTGGATATAGAGTGAGACTCCAGTTGCCAGACCCCCAGCTTACCAGGGTAACAGGCAGAAAGCAAAAGGTCCCCTTCTGCTATTCTTTCACTAATTTCAAGTAAGAAAAGTGCCCACCGAAGTATGTCTTCAGGACCAAACACCCCAAAGACCCAGTGTGAGAAGGTAGAAGGAAGTAACCTTAGTGAAGAGTGCATCATCTAGCAGGTTTCCCACGGAGGGCAGCATTCTGCAGAGGGCAACAAAGGGTCCATGGCACCTTGACATGGAAGCTCCAGAATCCAGGGACCTACCCTGTCTCCAATGCCAGCTTTACAAAACCTTTACGTTCCTTGAGCAAGATGGTGGAGGATCCTGGGTGGCACAAGAGGGCTTCAGTAGCTCCACCCACCACGATGACCACAGCATTGCCTGAGTCTTTCTGGGTCAGCGTGTACTCCAGGGCCAACTTACTCACTGGGCACACGCCTGTGAAACCAAAGAGTCAAACAGTAGAACAAACTTGGTGCCTGGTGATGGGGTGAGGGGCTCCTCTGGGCTCTTCTTGCTGGAGATAGTTCTGTGTCCTGCTTATTGATGGCCCCTCAATTCTGTCTTTGTTCCCGGTATCCTGGACAGGTCCTGGCCTAAGATGGGTCCAGTTGTTTGCCTTGGAATCTGTCTTTCTATAGTTGAAGCTACACTGAGTTCCTCTGTTTACTTCCATCCAGATCCTACTTCCTTCCAGATCAGCAGTCCTTAAGCCCACCCTTCCTGTCTCTACACACAAACTATAGCTGTCCTGCACTCTGCTCAGGCTGACTGCATTAGTAGCCCTCCGGAGTACTCTCCTTCAGGGGTGACCAGGAATAGCCACCACCAGTGTGTTTTTTCCTAAGAGAAACCTGCCAATAGCAAGACACTGACTAGGGATTTAGGAGAACAGGCAGGCTTGGAGCCTACCCAAGCCAAATTGAAATATAGTTGACTCTTTTTTTTTTTTTTTTGGTACCGGGGAATCGAACTCGGGTCCTTGCGCTTGCGCAGCAGGCGGGGAAACCACTGAGCTAAATCCCGGCCCTCAAACTGAAATATAGATGAACAATGGAATCACTTCTGAACCTTATCTTTGCCCTGTGCTCACCTTCTGTTCTCTACTGGGTGACAGTACTTTCCTCCAGGCTCCAGTCACTAAGAGAAGTCCTCGCTCCAGGGCCATGCCAACTTCAGAGAGGAACTGAAGCATCCTCTGAGATTCTAATGGTCCCACCTAGCCCGTTCAGATAAATGCATCTTATATTTTAATGTTTGGTTTTTGTTGTTTTCTGGTGTCCAGAAGGATAAATAGTAGTCCAGAGAGATGGACATTTGTCACTGTGCCCTGGCTTGAAGCCTGTCATGGGTAAGTTGTCCTGGATTCTGATGGATGCCTATCCAGTATCCTCTGGCATGTTACGAAAGCGTGAAGGAGTTCCCAGAAGATGAAGACTATACTAGGTGGTATGAACGCTTTTAAAATGTCTCTAAAATAATCTAGGATAAGAGCTTCCATATAAATGTCTGGCCAAAAGAAGCCAACCAACATCCCAGAAAAGAATCTGGCAAATCCAGCCTGATTTTCCCTGCAGTTGTGTCTAGTACTTGGCTTTCATGTTCTGCACTCTATTTGGGCTTTGATCCTGAATTTAGCCTACTGGTTCCCTCTGGGAAAAGAATCCTGGAGAGTCTTATGAATCCCTTTAACTTTCCCTGCTGCCCAACTGAACTCTGCATACCAGATCTTGGACAGAATCTGATGCTTGGCCACTTACCCCTTAATATCGCCCCAATGTGTTCTGAACTCATTTTTTACGAAGTCCTTTTCTAGCAGTGAATGATTGGCAGAGTTTATTGGGACTAGAGCCTTGAGGTAGGTTACAGATTAGAATGATTTATACTTACCCATTGACATCACGTAGTCTCGCACAAGTGGGATCCAGAAGATCCCTTCCAAGGTGGCTAAAAAGGGAGTGATAGATGGGAAAATCCGGGCAAATCCAGTGGCCTCAGTGGCAAAGTTGATGAAGGCACCATAAGAGACAACACCATGGGGGTGGCTGGCAATGATGTAGTTGTGTTTGGGAGAAAGGTCATGAGTCTTCACCAGCTGTTAGAGGGAGATTGAGTCAGAGTTTGGCTAAGCAGAAAGAAGAGAGGCTGTGTAGTCTTAGATCTCACCAGGTAGCCTATGTTTCCCTCTGGGAGCCCCATATTCCTGCTCATAGGTTTGCCAGAAATTATGATGGTCAGAGAGGCTGACCTGGGTTTGCCACTGACGGAAAGGTTGCTCTCCATGTCTCCCCATCTACCCATCCATCTTGGGTTTCTGCTCTACCTTATACTTCTGGGCCTTGAGCTTCACTACTGGCCACTAAAGCCTTTGAAAACATGAAACTAAGTAGGGAGTGAGAGGTAGGGCAATAAGAACCAAGGGAACCCAGAGGAAATATAGTCACCTTTATTGGGAAGTAATTACGGAAATACTTCCAGAGGGTCCAGTTTCGTACCCAAGCTGTACGCCTGCCACCTGTGAGTAGAGAAGGGAAGGGAAGAGCAGGAGGGGGATTGCCATCACCTCTCCTCTACCAGAGGTAGAGAGTTCTGTCTGCAGTTCTCAGGCCACAAAAAGGGCCTCCTTCTTGCTCATCAGAGCTAGAAGTACTGTCCCTGAATCCAGCTTCCAAGGCACAGGAGGCCCCTGTTCCTCTGGAGCCAACCAGAAAGGCAATGGGGAAACATACTGAGTCTGGGGTACCCTGCTCAGAAACATTAACCTCTTAATTCTTCCTGGGCAGCCTGACAGAGCCCTCTGTCCCTTTCCCCTTCCAGCTTTGCTTTTCCCCTTCTCTTCATCTACCTCCTTCTCCTTGTGGTTCCAGCTTTGGCATAGATAGGAGTGCCATTCGTTCCCCACCTCTTACCTCGATTGTGGGTGTTCCAATCATAGGCAAGCCAGGCTAAGGCAAGCACAGCCAAGGCCCAGAACTCCGTGAACACCAGGGAGTAGGGTATGAGGATAATGGGAATCGCTCCTGAGGAGACATAATGGGTTCATGCTCTTCAGTTCCTTTCAAGTTTCAGCATGCCTCTCATCACCCTGAACTGTACTTCCACACAAAGGAGCAAGCAAGGTGGATGTGGGATTCTTCTCTCCTCTTTTGCACTTTGCCTTACTCTGCTCTGATCCTGGCTGACCCTTGAGCCCTTGCATCTGGGTCCCCTTGATAGCTGAGATCTTAATGGAGAAAAGCACAGAACCACGAAGTTCTCTGAGGAGGCCCTCGGCTGAGGTCAAAAGAGCACTGCCCAACAAATGGAAAGAAGAGTACATTGGAATGGTAGCTGATTATCCCCATTTTAGGACCTCGAGAAATTTTTTCTAAAAACTTGACCCTTCTTCCTTTGTTGAACTGCTAAATCTGCGTATTCCCCAGAGGCCTTGCCTACAGTGTACAAAGTATTTGAAACTGAGAAGAAAACACAGATTAGAAACTGCTTTACTATGTTCTATTTTGTCCCTTTCAAAATGTTGCAAAAGTTCAGAAGGGGAAAACTTTATCTCTGTTAGCAAAGAGATACAGCATGCTGTGAAATGCAAACACAATACATCTTATAAAAATAGGAATTGAATTCTATTTTTATCTATTTACTTTTTTGTGGTGCTGGGAATTGAGCCAAGAGCCTTTTGCATGTTAGGCAAGTGCTCTACCACTGAGCTATCTTCCACTTTTAAATCTGCATTCATGAGAAAGAGGGGCTAAGTACACATATCATGAATTAAAAAGGACCTAGCTTAGGAAATGACTTCTTTGAATAGATGCCATATCATGGTAGATGAACATTTCAGAGAAGGGAGCAAAACTCAAGGGTTACCTACCAGCAGGTTGGTCTCTTGTGCTTGAAATATAGAAAGAAAAAGACAATGAGGGCATTGCTTTAAAAGTCATCTTATGGAGTGCATTAGAAGAAACCTTAGTGAAGGGCTGAATTCCCCTTACCAGAGCTGCAGGAGATGGTTTTCGTAAGCATGCTAATTGGCCTGGAAATAGGGAGGATTTCTATGGGAAGTTTGCCACGGATAAAAGCCCTGCTACTTCTGACCTTTGTAAAAGATGAAAGTAAATTTGCCAGTTAAGTTTCAGAAGAAAATTCAGATAAAGTTAAATAGGAATCTTCACTCATTAAAGACAGTCTAGGGGCTGGGGATTTAGCTCAGTGGTTCTGCTGCCTGCCTCACAAGTGCAAGGTCCTGAGTTCAATCACCGGTACCAAAAATAAATAAATAAAAAAAAATAAAAATAAAGGCAGTCTAAGTATATCATTTCTTTCCTATCTTGCTTCAAGTAAGTTTTGTTGGAATTCTTAGTATTTACAACAGTGCCTGGCACATAGTGGGTGTTCAAGAAATGTCTAGAATGGATGAAAAATAAATTTTAAAATGTTTTATTTTTTCAATAATGGAGAAATTTTAGTGATTAATGTTTAGTCAGTGTGTATAATGTTATTTAGATGTGATGTTATTTTTAAAGCAGAGGTGGATTGTGTACCTTATATCTATCTTCTTCAGGGCCGGGGATTTAGCTCAGTGGTTTTTCCGCCTCCTGCGCCAGCGCAAGGACCCGAGTTCAATCCCCCAGTACCAAAAAAATAAAAAGAAATCTTCTTCATTTAACTATCAGTCCTAAGGCAGTTGAGGAGCCCTTACCTGGAGAAACATTATCCCTCTTGTGGAATTTATTGGAACTGCAGGTGTGGCCCTGCAGGAAACCTTGTGTCGTTTGAGGACAAGCCTTCCAGATCCAGCCTATAAGAATCTCATCAGTGGAATGCGCCGTGACAAATGTGGGATATAAAGAGATGGAAGAAACAGAAGCCAAAAGTGGGAAAGCTAAAGAGCACAGACCGAGGAGTCCCATGTGTGGCACAAAGCAGAGGTGTCTGAGGAAAGGATGATGGAGAATAAGCATTTGTGTGTATGTGTGTGTAACACTCCCTTAGAGGTTCTGACCTGATATCAGGAGATGATTTCCACATTTCTTGTTCATGTTCAAGTGAGGCACCATGGAGGGGATTTCAAGGAAGAAGTTCATATGGTAGGCTCCTAATTTAGTTTGTATTGAGGATGGCCAGGTCTTCGCAATAGATGTGGTGCAGTGGTATCTCATTATCATTCTTATTTGCATTTCTCTAGTAGCTAATGATGCTTAACAGTCTTTCATATGGTTATCTACCTTCTGTGTATCCACTTTAATGAAATGTCTTTTCAAATCTTGTGCTCAGGGCTGGGATTTAGCTCAGCAGCACTGCGCCTGCCTTGCAAGAGCAAGGTCCTGAGTTCAATCCCTGGTACCAAAAAAAAAAAATCTTATGCTCAAACAGGGCATGGTGGTACACGCCTGTAATCCCAGCACTCGGGAGGCTGAGGCAGGAAGATCACCGAGATTGAGGCCAGCCTGCGCTACATAGTGAGTTCAAGACCAGCTAGAACTACATAGCAAGACCCTGTCTCAAAAAAATCTTTCTAGTTGTGCTGTTTTTGTTTGTTTAGCTTAATTTATTGAGAATTCTTGGGATGGTGATTATCTTCTCTCACCTGGAGGGAGGGAGGGAACAACACTGAGAAATCACACACTGTCCCAACACCCTGGCAAACACAGGGAGAAGGAAAGTCATTCATCTGAAAGAGGTTGGTCTTCAGTATTCATTAACATGTTTCCACTGGCTTGAACCACTGGTGGTTCACGTATGACTGTCCCATCGGGGAGCTTATTGGTATTGGTGGTACAAACCGATCTAATCACTTTTATCAGTCTTTTTACTAATAAAATTAACAAAAAGCTGCCTGGTGGGACAGTCATGCATGTAACACTGGCAGGGACACATAAGAATTATGGCCCCATTACAAACATGTTTAATCCAAGAAGGCTCAAGATGACAGATGCATAGGAGACCATCACATGATACTGGAGCTGTGGTGGGGTGTGCTAGACCCCTCACTGGCTCCTCAAAAATCAGAGGAGAAACATAGCCATTTTCTCTCTGCGGTAGAGTTCTTGGTTAACAGGCTCATTTCTTAGCATGGAAAAGACTGTTACTTCCCTAGGTGAAACTTTCGTCCTGTAGGTTCAGCACAAGATGGTCATCTGTGAGATAAACGCAATTATGTGATATGGTGTAGCCTTGAAGACCTTCTTGCCTTTCCCAGATCTTACAAAGCCTTATATAGCTAGGATTCTTGCTCAATGCTTTTCCAAGGTAAGCAGGAAAGGGCTAAGAGCCCATACAAGGCCAAGTTCCAATACTGGTCCCATCCTTACTGTCCCTTCCCGCTTGCTAGTCCTCCTCTGGGAGGACTATTGACTTTTGGAAGTCCTTTATACAGTTTGGAAACAAGTCCTTCATCTGACATCTGATTTGCAAGCATTTTTTCCTAGTCTCTGTCTATCTCTTCTTTCTATTAATAGGTTCTTTCTTGGCACAAAAGCTTTTAATTTTGGTGAAGTATAATTTATCATAGTTTTCCTTTTACAAATTGCACCTTAGATGTCAAATCTGACTCTGCTTAACATCAGATCATTGAGTTTTTCTCCTGTTCTCTTCTAAAGGCTTTAGTTTTCTGTTTCACATGTAAATCTATGGTTCATTTCAAGTTAACATTTTTCTAGAAGCATACTTGACAAATGAAATTGAATATATTCAAGGTATACATGATAAATTGATATATATATGTATTGTGTAATGATTACTACAATCAAATTAATCAACACATCACCACCATACATACATTGTGTGTTAGAAGGGGAGAAGACACCTGAGATCTACTCTCTTGGCAAATTATAAGTAAACAATGTAGTATTCTTTACTATAGTCATCACACTGTACACTAAATCTCCAGAACTCATTCATTTTATAGCTGAAACTTTGTACCCTTTGACCAACATCTTCCCATTTTCCCCCTTGCCCCAGCCCCTGACAGCTACCATTTTATTTTCTGCTTCTATAAGTTTTTTTTTTTTTTAAAGAGACAGTATCATGCTATGTTGTCCAGGCTGTACACAAACTCCTGGGCTCAAGAAATCCTCTTGCTGCAGCCTCTTGTGGACCTAGGACTACAGGCACAAACCACCATACCCATCTAAATTTGACTATTTTAGATTCCAAATATAAGTGACATCATGTGGTATTTGTCTTTTTGTGTCTGGCTTATTTCACTTAGCATAATATTCTCCAGTTTCATCCATGTTGTTGCAAATGAGAGAATTTCCTACTTTATAATGGCTGAATAACATGTGTGTCGGGGGGGATCATATTTTCTTCATCTGTCAATAGACACTTTGGTTGGCTTCATATCTTGCTATGTGAATAATGCTACAATGAAGATGAAGGTGCAGATATCTCCTCAAGGTACTGATTTCATTACCTTTGGAACCTCCATATGTTTTCCATAATGGCTGTATCATTTTACATTCCCATAAATGGTATATAAGGGTTTCCTTTTTCTACATTCTAGCCAACACTTGTTTTCTCTTATCTTTTTGATAATAGCCATCCTAACAGTTATAAGGTGACATCTCACCATGATTTTGATTTGCATTTCCCTTATGACTATTAACATTGGAAGTCTTTTCATAAATCTATTGGCTCTTGGTACATATTCTTTGGAAAAATATCTATTCAGGTCTTTTGCCCATTTGTAAAGTTAGGTTATTTGTTTTTGTTTTGTTATTGAGTTATACAAGTTCTTATATATTTTGGAGATTAACTCCTTATTAGATTTATGGTTTCCAAATAATTTCTTCTATTTTGTAGGCTGCATTATCATTTTTTGAGTGTTTCCTTTGGTAAGCACAAGCCTTTTAGTTTCATGTACTCCCATTTGTTTATTTTTGCTTTTGTTGTCACACACACCCCCAAAGTCACTGCCAAGGTCAACATCACATTTACTTCATAGTTTTTTTAAAATTTAATGGTTTCAGGCCTTATAATTAAGCCTTTAATTCATTGTGGGTTCATTTTTATATGGTATAATATA